TTCGATTATCACTTCAAAGGGTTTTTTTCTCCCTACTGCTGATAGCTCATCTTAACTGATTGGCCTCTTACAGTTGGTATGGGTACTTCCACCTTTTCATGTTCTCTGTATGTATAAATATCTTCTGTCTGTGTGTTCCATTCTATGCATCTGAAGAAGTGAGCTGTAGCCCACGAAAGCTTATGCTGAAATAAATGTGTTAGTCTCTTCAATGCTAGCACTGAAGTCACTAAGGTTTGTAATTGCTCTGGAATTCTAAAAGGAGAAATGCAAAGGCACCGCGTATGTACTGAGCTACCATAAAGACTGAAAGTAGCATCAATCCTTAAAGGCACTAGTGCTTCTTGAATTGTATTGCAGAGTGAGCATATCTGATAATATACATGCGTGACCCACTGGTCAGTGTGTGTTATGAATTACTCTCGGTGGATGGCTGTGAGTCGATTACAGGCTCCATCTAGAGACTGGAGCTTTTGTACAACCTGAAGGCACTTGAGCATGTAGCTCTGGAGAGTTCTGGTTCAAACCACAGAGTACTCGTCCCAGAAGGCATGACAGCCTTCACACGTGTGCTCAAAAGTGCCTCTTTCCCACGTAACCCACAGGAGCAATTTTATCCTCAACACGGCTCATCATGTTTGCAGCATCTGGACCCAGATGTTCTTTAACACATGTCCAAGAATGCTGCAAAGCACCTGGTTGTCTGAAATCCTCAAATGTTCATCACTCTTTTCATTTCCAGTTTTTCTCACTGTGTCATTCTGGATGGACTGTGCAGTGAGGTCCAGGTCACAACTTGAGTTTAATTATTGTTCCATTTTTGAGTGGAATGATTTAAAAATACCTTTTTTTTCTATGGGAAAATCATCATTATAACCATACTGTGTGGGTGCAGCTTACCTTCTCATCCTCAGACTTGGCCAGTGTCTCCGTTTCTCCTGTTGGGTTGGTGGTTTAGGGCGCCTCCCTCCTCTTCCCCCTCCCTCACCTCCACCGCCCACACTGAACCAAAATCTCCCCGACCTGGGGCAAAATAACATTAAAAATAAAAACACAAAACCCCCTGGGCTAGAGATGCTTCCTTGGGGGCTGAGTGACCATTTCTTCCCCTCAGCTGCTTCCACGTAGCGCTCCTAAATTCTCCTTTGCTCAGCTCGTCTCTAAGCTTATCTCAGTTTTCTTTTACAGGCTTCATTTTTAAGCCATTTCTTTTTGTCAACTCAGCCTCCCTGCTCTCTTTCTTGCCAGAGAGACTTACAACAGGTCCTACCAACTTCTCTCAGTCTGAGGACAGGAGGCCTTTCAAATTCAGAAATGATATCCACAAAGGAGACCTTCCCAGAAACGGACAAGTATGTAAGAAGAAGGCATCATAATGGAATGAGATTGGCAGCTTTCATTATGCTGAATGCTACCAAGAAAATTCCATGCTTCAATGTGTCCTCGGGTAGTTATTGAAATTAGGATCCTTCTGTCAGTGACTGGAAGATTGACATAACATTTTTGAAAGGCTTAAAAGTATAAGTGTCAATCAGAAGCCGTGTTGCTAGTTATTCTAATTTTTCTGTGACAGATCGATCATTTTATACTGGGATATGACACACACACCCTTAACATAGCTCAATACTTGTACATGTTTCTTTTTGGTAAATTAAGCATTACTGTTGTAAAGAGCAGCCATTTTGATCTCATAAGTGCTGCACAATGATACAAAGGAGACGCATGCCCCATACTCTCTCCTGGGAAATATATTTTAGTCCTTCCCCGTTGTTTTCCATATTCCTAAATGAAACAATGATGTAAACGGACGCCAGACTGGCCAGAGACATTGTCTGTATGATGCCATGTTGGCAAGCCAGAGGGGCTTCAAAATGGGTGGTGGAGAATAACTGCAATACATGAGCAATACATGGCTCACACGTTGCACTGAGCACTGTGGAGACTCTGGGCTCCTCTGGGTTGTGGACAGATCATAGGCAGCCTGAGTAAAGCAGCTATATGATTCCTTTGTCCCATGTCAGGGTTGTGCCATGTGCTCTGAGCCTCCAAGGTCATTAAACAGCAGCTATAGAAATTAGAGACACAAATATTCTGTTTACACAGTAATGTCTCCCTTGTGGCATCCTGAACTTACCCATCTTCTTCTACAGCAACTCTGCCCAAAACTACAACTTCCGATTCGTATGAAATGGGGGTAACATGTAAAGAGGCAGATGCCCCCACCATGAAAACAACCAACGGAGTTATTGATGAATCGGGTGAATCCTGCACAAAGAAAAAGTGTCTTCATTTTCATTCACATATAAGTGTAAACAAAGGCTGTGATTGCAGCATGACGGGCATTTCTCATTAGCTGAATTTCCAATTCACTGAGACAAGGCCAAGTCAACCCAATTATCTTCCTGTGCCTGTGCTCAGTCAAAGGCTGCTCCTAAGAAATGAGCAGAGTGAGTTAATTCAGGAGATCTGCTGGCTTCCTGGCTGCAGGCTTCCGAACTGTAGCACTGAGCATGGGAGTCCTTCCCAGCCCCACCCCTGTACAGGATGGAAAGCAGGCAGCTGTCTGCACCACCAACTTCTAAGAGTGGGGCAGAGGTTTTGCTGCCGTGGTTTTGATTCTTTCTGATTCCAAACACTGATGTACTAGGCAGTATCTAAATGCTGATTGGCTGAGCAGGGTTGAACCAGCTCAGCACTGGGTTGGGTGGCTGGTACTTGTGGAAAGCGAAGGGTTTAAACAAGTCCCTCCAGTCAGAACGCCTGATTGTCAGTGACACTCGGCACAGACATTCTTGTGAAGACTCAGCACTTGGCAATACTGACTCAATGACCAATTGCCAGTCTTAGACATACCAGACAGGCTTGTCCTTCTGATCATGTGGCCAAAATGTTCTTTAGGATATTAATATTAGACGATTTTAAACTAGATTTTAGCTGTGCTTTCCTTAAAGTATCCACTGTGACATTCCCCAGGGTAGAGTCTGGACCAGTGAACAGCCGTATTCCCTCAGGTCTCCAACCTGCAGTGCCTCCTACACTGCTCCGCTTTGAAAGCAACCACTTCTGATCCTGCTCATGCACAGCCCCTAGCATGGAAAGTCTCTCCCAGCTGAATTAGAGGAAAACTTGGAGCAAGACTCTCCTTAATTATCCTGCAGAGCAACACCAGCCAATTCCCAGTGCCAGCCTCGTCCCCCAGAAATGTGCATCTTGTACTGATCAGTTCCC